AAGTGGTGTTTGATGAAGAGGGTGTAGGTGAGTTTGGAGCTTGAGATGTTTATGGTATCTTCAGCGTCCATGTCAGGATTATAAGGGATGCCCTCTGGGCGAAGCCCTGTGATCACAGATATGTCAAAGAGTGTCGGTGTAGCCATTCCACATGGCAAATGGAAGGTATAGTGAGTACTATCCCAGAAGTACAAAGACGCTGCCAACAAGTTCAAGCAGTATGGGATGTTGGTCTTCGACAGTATAAGGAGATCATAGATCCCTATAGATTTCCAGTGCTTAGCCTTAACTTTTTCCAGTTTCGTCATCCAAAGGTCAAAGTCCTTAAAGGGATTGATGGCTCTCACCAGCCTAGTACCATCGGTGAGATACCTAAGGTTGATTTTAGGCAAGGGGAGGTCTTCAGCAGCAGTGTTGGTGAGTCTAGGGAAACTTTTTTTCCCTAACGATCTTAATCTCCGGTATGAAGGAAGAAACTCACTCAGTTTTTCGTCAAAAATTCCAGCATTAGCTAAAGGACCAGAGAGTGCATATGGTTTATCAGAAACAACCAAAGGAATCATTACTTGAGATTTGTAAATGCTTCGTGCCGCTTCAGTGGTGGGTTCTGGCATGCATTGGCGATTATCCACTAGTTAGGGGCCAGGAACGTTTGCAAATGGTGGAATGGATTGCTTAAATTGAGTGACTCTTCCCGTTTGGGTTTTCTTCTCGTGAATATTTGCTTGGGAAGATGCCATTATTAAAAGAAGTAAAAGGAAATAGTGATTTCTAGGTCTTGTGAAGAAAATTGAAGGAAGAGAGACGATGTGCTTAAGATTCTGAGAGTGTAAAAAATTCACAAAATGGTGAAGAAGAGTATTTATAGGCATTTGGGAATCCTAAAAGCTTTGAATCCACCATTGAAGTTAATCGGGTAGTGGGACGCGTGTCTTTCTCTGGATAAGTGATGAGTGTTAGCAGTTATGGTCAGACTGCAAAACATATCTTTTCAAGAAAAAGTGATGATGAATACAGCTAAAGAGACGTTTAAGGATTTGTCATGATGGTGTGACGTCATAAGCATGGGTTAAAGAAATTGAACAGTTAGCCACTAAATAAGTAGTGGACTGTTCAGTCAAGGCCATACAATTTCATAGGCATATGCGTCGAAACAGTTATGAAAAATGACCTTCCTACCAAAGTTGGCGAAAAGGCATTTCTTGGGGGCAATTTGTTAGCTCTCATTTTCAACGCCAGCAAAATCAAGAGTCATCTCAAGTCAAAAACAAGCGTGTTCTAGCATAAGAAGGCTTCGACCCAGTTTTTGGTAAAGCCTGAGTCGAAGAGAGGTTGTGAAAACATCTGAAAATTTGCTAAGTGTTGGATAGTTCTTCGACCATGAGGGGGATGAAAGAAGCACGTTGCAGTCACCACCAAGGCTGGAGGGAAAGTCTTGATATTTGAATTTCAAAAGAGCAGTTGGCAAAGTGGGAACAGTTAAAGTCAAGAAAAGCGCCAAAAGACACGTTTGAAGCAACAACCGTCACTTAGTAGTTATTCTCTAGCATTATAAATAGAGGTTATTTCCATAGAATAAGGGTGTTCATTTGTCTTGTACAAGTTACTCCAAACCATTCAAAGTACCCGCGTGTAGAGAAACGAGTTAGAGAGAATGTACGTGATACAATGCCATTTCTTTTCATCAATGCAATTTATGTACCTTTATCATTTTATCTTGCATGTTCTCCTTTAACCTTTACCTTTCATGTCCTTCCTTGAAACTTTATTTTTCATCTGTACTTCATGCTATTTAACTTTCTGCACTTTATCTTAACTTGCCATTTAACCTTCTGCGCTTTCCCTTAAACTTGTTATTTTCAAAGTCTTTTTAATTGCTTTCGACTGTTACTTTCCTGCATTTTTACGTTATTGCTTTTACTTTCGACATCTTACACGCTTACTTTCTTGCATTGTTATCAAACTCAAAGTATTTTACATTCTTGCCTTTATTTTCAAAGTCTTTTACATTCTTGCCTTTATTTTCAAAGTCTTTTACATTCTTGCCTTTATTTTCAAAGTCTCTTACATCTTGCCTTTTACTTTCGACGCTTTAAGAATTGCACTCTTTATTTTACAACCTTGCTAATTTCCAAGTTGTTTTTGCTTTACAAAGTTTTACAGTCGCATGTGGAGTTCAATTTAGATTTTCTTTTAAACTTAGCACATATCCTAGGATTTGTATGGCCGATCCTACAAGTTACTCAATTTTACCTAAAGTTGATAGACCAGAGGTTGTTTACCAAATTTCACAGTAAACAATGAACTTAGATAAAATTACTTGTTGCCAACTCATAAAATGTAGGGGTTGACATGACCTAAAACACTAACAACATGAAAGCCCGACTAAATAGGTAAATTCACGTTCACTTGAAGAGTAAGGGAAATAATGGCTCCTCTATCCTTGTAGAAACAAAATAACCTTCCTTTGAGTTCTAGGATTAAGGGACAATCAACCTCTATAAATATCTCAACCACTGAGTTGAGAAGAAACATTGAATTTTCTCAGGAATCATGTGAATATAGATTTTCTCATTATCCACACATGAGGCTTCTCTAACACTACAATAACCCTAAAATCCTCGGACAATCCTATATAATTAGGGGTTATCACGCATTGTACTTTTAGCAAGTACAGTCATCAAATCCAGTGTCACCAACAATAATTAAATAAAAAGGTCACTCTGGATAAATTAGTATTAATAAAATTCATGAAAATACTTAAAACTTAAAATTTAAAATTCATGAAAATACTTAAAACTTAAAATTTATTTTTAATTTGTATTAATAAAATAATATTTATAAGGTGGTGTGTAAGTATAGAGTGCAATGTATGAGAGGGGGATTTATATTTTGAGACATTTTCGGTTATGTTAGATATTTTCTTATATTCTTATTTTTTCGAAAATATTTCAATGAACATATGAAGTAAAACACATAATTTTAAATACCGAAAGTAAAGAACACAAATGATATATCCTAGTTCCTTTTTTCAAACAATTAAGATTACTCAAGTCCTTTCACACCCCGTGATAGATTTTCACTATTGTTAGATCTTTGTACAAGCCTACCACTAAGAATTCTCTTACAATCTTCTAACAACAACAAAGAAGCACACTACTTTCTTGATTAAAAAAACACCAACAACTATGGTTGACTTTGAATAACTCTGATTCAAAACACCTTTTTCAATAGTCACCAACACTATGATGAATATCTCATACATAAAAAGCGCACCACTTTTTATTTACAACACATAGAAAGCATAACACTTTCTATTACAAATCAAGTCACCACACACTTGGTGATCAAATACAACTTTTCAACAAATATAAATATATGATGTTGTTCTTGAATTAATTCTAATATAGAAAATTGATCTTCTCTTTCAATGTACAATTGAAATATAATAATCTTAAATGCTAAGAAACTTTTCACAATGATATGACAATTTAGGCGGAAAATTTTTTAAGGTTTTTAATGGAGAAAGCTAATTTTGAATTTTAGTTTAAAAACTTGAGTGAAAGAGGTGACAACTGAATTTTTAATGACCATTGCCTTGTATACATCCTATGAAACATCTTCGATTAGTTGTTCATGTTGGTAGATATTTCATGAAGATTTACATTAGTTTAGAATAACAATGGTTGATGAAACAATGCATTATGCAATCCTGATAACGTGTTGATTTTTCAAAGCTCCAGAGTGTAACGAGTTACATAAATTGTGTAACTAATTACACTTAGTTCAATTTTAAAAAACTATTAAAAATTTGAACCTGTAACCAATTTGCAAAAGAGTGTAACCGGTTACACTGATGTAAAAAGAAAAATATTTTTTTCAAAAGACCTGACATACAAGGTATTGTTGCATGGATGCTTAGGAACATTTGATATGAAATGATGAATGATTTTTTGAGCATATATTGATATACATACTATGCATTATAATCGAATACCGTTACAACAAGATCAATTCCTCTTAAATCAACATCCAAAGGCTTATGTAATATTGATACTTGAATGAGCCTGTACTTCTACTTTTTATCATTATAATCAAAGATTATTTCCATCATTGTCATCCAATTAACTTAGGCATATTTGATCCTTTTGAAATATGTCTTGAACTTTATGTTGAAAAGCCTTTTCTTTCTTTTTGACACTTGAACTTGATATTCTCTTGTCTTCATCAAAACATCATACTTGGTGCATATTGTCTTTACATGGTGGGATAACTCATCTAATATGTGCTTTTTGAGTTAAATGATTGTAAATTGTTGATCTAAAGTTCAATCCGTGATGACAATATTTATTTATATTTATGTATTAATGTAAATTAGTTGTGAGTATTCATAAATAAAAAACTTCATGAACAAAAAATATTAAATGATTTTCACAAAATATATTTTATGTTTATATTTTGATTTCATTATTTTTTTCAATATTTAATTTATATTTTTTTATTTTTAAAAATTATTGATTTATAAATATCAACAATTTATTTACATTAATATTTAAATAATTAATTCATAAATAATAAATGTTATTGTTAGAAATTATACCATCAATTTAACCCATTAGCATAGCTGAATCACCCTTATAATTTGTTATTGATTCCAATAAAATGCTTATTTTATTTTATTTTAACTCTATCAGAACTTACTTTAGATTTTAGTTTAAAGACATTTATATCACTTTAGAAATACAAATATATTGAGTTTTTCAAAGGATAAAATAAACACTTCCTCTGAAAAATGTATATAGAAGAAATTACAGTAAATAGAGAAATTATATTGCAAACAAAAAATTCAGAGCATAACAGAAACATGTCCAAATTCAATGTAACACAATCTCCCCTTTTTTCTGTACAAGTACATCATATCATAGTCTTCAATTTTTCTTAAGATTTTCATCACATAAAACATCTCTCACAGACATCATTGGATCGATCAAACAAACAACATGGGAGATTTAGAAACAGATCAACCAGATTCAGCTTTTATTCAATCCCCACAACACAGACCAAAATCTTCAATAACCATTGCTCAAGGTATCCCTCTAATCGACCTCTCTCCCATAAATTACCAAGACGAAACCATAGTCCCACTTTCCATCCAAGGCTTAGTCAAGGAAATAGGTGAAGCATGTAAAGAGTGGGGGTTTTTCCAAGTGATTAATCACAAAGTGCCTTTGGATAAACGTGAGAGAATTGAAGAATCTGCAAGGAAGTTCTTTGGACTTAGTTTGGAAGAGAAGATTAAAGTGAGAAGAGATGAGGTTAACTTGCTTGGTTATTTTGAAGCAGAGCATACCAAGAATGTTAGAGATTGGAAGGAAATTTATGATTTCAATGTTCAACAGCCCACTTTTATTCCACCATCACTTGATCAAGATTTTCACTTCACATGGGAAAATCGTTGGCCTCAATATCCTCCTGAGTTCAGGTATCTCAATATACATCTTTTCATTATGTATATTTTCTAGTCTTATCAATTTGTCTAGCATAGTATAAAAGGTCTTTTGTAAATAGTTTACGTCATGATTGAAGGCATGTCTGATATCTATCATATTGAATGTCAGTCTGATGTCAAGGCATGTCTGCCTGAAGTCTGTCTGATAGTACATGTCTGATGTCTGGCATGTCCGATGTCTGTCTGGCATGTCTGAAGTCTGTCATAGTACTAATAAATGGAGTTACTTGTTGATTTTAATACTAGAGAAACATGCCAAGAATATGCAGAAGAAGTGGAGAAACTAGCATATAAATTGATGGAACTTATTGCAATGAGCTTAGGTTTAGTACCGAATAGGTTTCGTGACTTTTTCATACATAACACAAGCAATATAAGACTCAATCATTATCCACCTTGTCCTTACCCTCATCTAGCTCTCGGCCTTGGGCGTCACAAAGACACCGGTGTCTTAACTGTGCTTGCTCAAGATGATGTTGGTGGCTTACAAGTTAAGAGAAAATCAGATGGAGAGTGGATTCAAGTTAAGCCCATTTTCAATTCTTTCATCATCAATGTGGGTGACATGATTCAGGTACCTAACACTTGCTCATTTTTCTTATCACCTTATATCTGCTACGAAACACATATACAGACATCAGACACACATTTTTAGAAAAAACCATTCTGCAAGATTGATGTAGAAGCAAGTAATGCATGCAGGTTTGGAGCAATGATGGTTACGAGAGTGTAGAGCATAGGGTTATGGTGAACTCTGAGAAGGACAGATTATCGATTCCGTTTTTTCTGAAACCGGCACTCTACACTGATGTGAAGCCATTGGAAGAGTTGACAAACGACAGGAACCCTTCCAAATATTCACCAATCAATTGGGGGAAGTTCCGCACAGCAAGAATGCAGAGTAATTTTACTAAGTCCAAAGTCGATAACCTCCAAATTTATGATTTCAAGATTTCCTTGTAATTGGGTTAGAATTTATGTATTGTAGACATTATAACAAAGTGTAAACTAGACGAGTTTATATATATTTTCATAAGATGAAGTTTCTTGAGTAAAAAAAATACTATCTATTAATTGAAATTCAAATGAGTTCTAAAGCGAGCGTATTAGAGATTGGTTATAGTGATTGATTATATTGTATTAAAGCATCTCTTACATTGGGGTAGACAGACTCTCAGCTTTTAGCGACGACGGGGTGTAAACCTCAATCTAAATCAAACCACAATTGTCATCTAAATATTCAATTTCATCTGATCCTTCCAATGCTGTTTTAGTTTCACAATCATTAACCGGTGATAATTTTAATTCTTGGTTTCGCACTACGTTGATGGCTCTTGATGGTAAGAACAAAACAGGGTTCCAAATCCTAAAGAAAACAATGAATTTTTTGCACAAGTCATATATGCGGCAAATGATGCTGAAATTCAGAAGGAGCTTCAAGATCGATTTAAATAAAAAAATGATCCTCGTATTTTTTCAATTGAAAAAGAATCTTCTCAATTGCACATAAAGTTCCCCCGGTACCAATCCTTATTTTACTCAATTCAAATCTCTATGGGAAGCACTGGGGAATTTTGACCTTCTTACGTTATTGATGGTACTTAATGAATCTTTTAATTAGGTTTGTGGTCAAATTTTATTGATGGATGCTTTTTCTTTAATCAAAGTTGTTTTATCCATGGTTTCTCAAAATGATAAACAAATGGAGGTCACTGCTACTTTGACTCAAACTAAGTCACCATTTGCTTGTGTGTTCAAGCAAATTCTAAGACTTTCAAGAAAAATAGCCCAACTTATGCACACTATGGCAGTTCTTGGTCATCTAAAAGAATTTTTTTTTAAGCTCCATGATTATCGTGATGTGTAACACCCTTCTAACCTCAAAGAATAATTCACGAAATATTAAGGATAATCAATATAATTCACCACTCAAGAATGTCACACTTCATAGAAAACATTCATAATAGTTCATTATGCTCCGTAACACGGGTTACAACATTTATAACATCATTTTCTTTTATAACTTCAACACATAAATTGAAACTTCGCAGCGAAATCATAATCATAAAATAAACTTCATTCATCTTCATAATACAAAAATATCTTAGTCTCGTCAAAAGTTGAAATTTAAATCAATTTAACATCTCAAACTCATGAAATATGTTAACCAAAATAACATAACATTAAACTCGAACGTTTCCATCCCGATGTCACATATCAGAGCAAGACACCTCTATAAATAACAGAAATAACATAAATTTCTCCAAAGCTACCTTCACGCTTTCACGTGGAGGCAACATTCAAACAAAAGGGTGAGTAATCATAATTCATTATAAAAGATATAAGAAAAGATTTAATAGTTGAAAATATTATTATATCAACACATATTATACATCAATACATCTTGCTCACCTACACAACATCACAACAATAACACATCTTTCATCATCAAAGTCATCATATACTCACATAGTTCATAAGGATCATCACGTCACAACTCATTAACAACAGTTTATGCAATGCCACATAGGATGCAACAACATTTTGACTCAAATGCATGTGGTAGCAATTATTTATGAACATTTGGTTCATCATCCTTCAAAGATCCCCCCATTGGATCGATTCTCTATTGAAACCGGAGCAGAACATAAACACACTCATTCTGCACAATGGGGTCGAGGCTCAACATAAGCGGACCAACGTCCAAAATGCTATGAATACATGATGCACAAGAACATTAATAATTCGACCACGACTAGTCAATTGCATCATCATTCACGTATTCATCATGTAATAAACATCACATAGCATGTATACACATTAAACATGTGTCATACCCTAAATTTGCCCGCCTTTTTTTTTTTTTTTGTAATTATTTTTTTATTTTTTTATTTCGCATATTTTATTTAATTTCATGCCGTTTAGACACGTGTCCACCCCCGATTGGGCGCTTTTCAAATCTCGACTATTTTGCCCAATAGGAGCGTGACACATGGCAAAAGGGCATTTTTGTAAATTTTAATTCCATGTTTATTTTTCTCATTTCCTTGCAAATATTACCTTTATGTTCATATTTTTATTTTATCATTTATTTAATTTAATTAGATTTTTATTGTATTTTTTAGATTTAAAATAGTTATTTATTTTTCTTTTAGAATATATTTTATTTTAATAGTTTTTAAATAGTTTTTTTTTTATAAGTTGTTTAGAGTTGTATATTAAATAAGTTTTTATTGATATTAGGATTTATTTGTAAATAATTTTTGTTTAATAGATTTTTAGAATTAATTAGAGTTATTTAAGGTTATTAATTTATTCAACTATTTATTATTTTATTAGATTATTTAGTTTAATTAAAATAGATTATTTAATTAGGATTAATTGTTATTAATTATTATTCGTCTTTAGTTTGGAATATCATTTTGTTTAATTTAGTTAGATTAGATTAACTAGGATTAATTAGGAATAGTTTATGTTTATTATTAATTTTGGTTATTTAATTAGGATTTTATTTATTAGCTTTTAATCAATTTTAATTGGTTTCTATTTTAATTATCGTAAAACCAGTCTTTCTTTCATCATCAGTTTTTTTTCTCACTAATCATCATTATCATTAATCAGCCATCATCTAATCATTCATTAAACCGCTGCCATGTGTCTGTATATAAACCCTCCACTCACTATTCATCATCTCTCACATTTTGCAACCCTAGCCTCCAAACCCTAACCAGCTGTCTCCTTCCTCCTTCATCAGTTCATCACCATGAAACCTCACCAACAGCATCAATCGAAACTTCCAGCCATCAAACCTTCTCCTACTTCCATTAAACAAACTTCACCTCCTCCATCTTCAGAAAACGAACTTCCAACGCACAAAACCACAGCCACCTTCAACACTTCTTCATTCAACCTTAACTTCTCAAAAGAAACAGAACAAACATTCAACTAACAATCTCTTTCTTCACTTCCATTGTTAACCTGCTCTAAACCTCAAACTCCACCTGAACATCTTCAAACTTCATCATCGAACAATAAACCCAGAAATTGTTCCCAACTCGAACTTCAACCAAACTCCATAAACAAATCTCCATTAAACCATTCTTCACTTCAGAAAATAACCATAGCCATCTTCAAAATCAAAATCCTAACCTTCGTTTAGCCTTCTACGCCACTCGGGTTATTTACCGTTATGCTAGTTCCCGGTCGGTGTAACAAACTCAGCCGAAGCTCTTTCACAACTCTCGGTTTTCCCCGCCGCAGATACGTTCGCTACCGCCATCTAAGGGGATAATCAGATAAGGTTGATTTCCATTTTATGCCAAGTCCCAAAGGCCACCGGAGTCACCAAACGGAGAATCATTGGAAGCAAAAGTTAGATGAAAGATCTACGTCTTTTCACGGTGACAACGCCATGCCTTCCGTCACAAACCCTCCGTCCAAAACACGAATCCTTCCGTGAACCATAACCCCCAGACCTCCCATCAATCTCTAAAAACCAAAATCACTAACAACCGTAAACCTCGCCGTAAAACCAATACGAATCCCAGAAATAAACCTTAAATCTCCCGACCCCTGTTCTTCGTTCAAACTTCATTCAACCATCGCGAAAATCCAGAAGAACATAACCGTCAAAATCACCAGTGCGAAGCACATTTCCAGCAACGAACTTCGTCTTGCTTTGAACCGCAACACTAACATCTTCTCCACAACCTTAATCTACCCAGAACAAAACCCTCAAACTTCAATTCACAACCTCCGTCGTGTTCCTCGCGAAACCCAGAACCTACCGTCACCAATAAACCCATTTCCGCCATTCGCAAACGAACCACAAATCCATCGTCTTCCTCGCCATTCCAGATCTTCGTCTAAACCCCTTTCACCATTAAGCTCAGCGCCTTGTCAATACATGTAACAGAAACAGACCAATTCTCAATAGAAACTTCAACCTAATCCCCAATCTAAAACTCACCTACTTCAAATCTCTCCTCAAAATCACGACCGTAAATCCCACACACAGCCACAAAACCAAACGGGTTGGTGATTCACGAACCCATACGACGTTTAACGGAGATGAGTGAGACGAACAGAAGGGATCTCACGATTGGAACATGGGAGTTTGAGAGCATCCCATTTTGATTTGACGAAACTTGTTTATGATTGTGTTCCGAGTACAGGGGAAGTTTTTTATTTTTAATTTTTTCTGTTGGTTGGATCTTGGGCTTAAGCCCATTCAGTTCCTGGCCTACACGCCCTGTTCATATATTAAATCCCAGCTTCTCTTTTTTTTTTTATTTGTGTTATATTTTTTTTTTATTAATTTAAATTTAGTGATTTGTTAATAATATTAATATTTATTTTATTATAATTTAATATTTTAGTTTTGTTAACATATTTTGTAAATATATTTTGGTTTATATATGTATATATTATTTTCTATGATCTATTTTATATTCATTTTCTTTTAGATTTCTATTTTATTTATATTAGAGTTTATTACTTTTTATTTTAGAGTTATCTTATTCTTCTTTTGTTATTGGGCATTTTGTCCCATTTCTCTTTTTGGTCGATGACGACGCTTCCATAAATCGATTACTAAGTCAATATTGATAAGTATCGTTGGATCCGAGACCCACCTTTTCTCTCTTCATTTCTTATTCTGTTTCGATTTTTATTTTGACTATTTGGATCGATGAAGTCTTTTTATCCGCAAGCGTCAGATTTTCGAAGTCGATAACCTTCCTGATTTCAAATCTATGGGGGATGACCATTTGGGTCATCTTTCTTACTTTGGGATCACGATAGGCTACCTTCGATTAATCGACATTTTGTTTGTGGTTAAGACGAGATCTCATTCTTTTGTGCCCCGATTCGATACACTAACCAATATACAACTGCTTTAATTTCTGTTAAATATTAATTGCTTTATTTTTCAGTCATTATATCCTTGTACATATTATATATTC